AAAAGCAGTAATGATTATTTGTTATTATTATTGAGGGCCTTCCAGGGGAATGGGGCAGGTTTGACGTGCGTACGGTGGGGTAACACCCCGGTGCGATTCTCTCGAATGTGCCACTGCGTGTCGTTCCTCTCAGTGCATGATTTTTGAAGGAAAATTAAGTTCATGGGCAGGTTTGTTTACTGCCTCCCGCACACACCACGCTGAACAATTTCTGAGGTAAATTGGACGTCAACGGATGAATGATCCAACGGCTTTTTTACCACACTGTTGCTTTGCACATTCCCCGCAATTGGGTTGCCATTGCTGGGGGCCCTTGGGCCGTGGACAGAGCAAAAAAAAGGATTTTGCCTCTCTGTGGCATTCCCTGGCATTTTTGCCGTGTTGGCGGGCTGAGAGTCCATCAGGGCAGTTGACGGTGCACCGTCGGCCTTTTCGTAGTGAATGGCCGGCTCTCGGAGAGGGTGCGCAGGGGTGACCCCACTGGCGGACGAAGGCTTCCGCGAGCAACGGCGTGCCCGCGTTTAGTTCCAGGCGGTGCGGCATCGACTGGGAGAGGTGCAGCTGCTGCCTTGCCAAGAGGCTGCACGGGCAGAAGGTTTTGGCCACACGTAGGCTCACTTGCGGGATGCATGGCATTCCACTGCAAGGCCCAACGGCAGAACAGTGCCCTGGAATTGGGCCTCTCTCTCACGCCGTGCCTGTGCATGGGCCGCTAATGAGCAGTCTGGCAGATCTCCACATTACCACAAGGGCCTTGGCGGAAGACTTCGAGACGTCGTGCCACGGGAGGGGCTGGCAAAGGCGAGGCAGCGCGTGTCTTGTGCCGTGTGCACCGAGTTGGAAGAGTTTGGTTGGTTTGTTGCTTTATGTTCGTTGTAAGTCTTTTGCTTTTTTTTCTTTTTTCTTCCCGTGGAAAGGTCTGCACCACTACTACTACTGCTACTACTGCCACCGCCACTAATAATGCCGCTGCTGATATTCAAACGGAAGCAACAGAGGCAGTTTATTCAGGCGATGTGCCAGCCACGCCGCAGCACGCCGTTTCTATCCCTGGCGGTGTTTTTGCTGCTGTTGGTGTGTTGTGCCGCTGGGTGCCTCGCCGTCGCTCCCGCCCGGAAGCACCGCTGCGGGTTTGCCGAGATGATGGGGAGGGACCCGCCGCCGACTGCGGTGGTGCGTGATGTGCCGCGCAGAGGACAAGACGCGATGCAGGCCTACACCGTCGCCGCACAAGGCGTGGGGAGTGAGTGGGCCCCGATCCGTATCAAGGTGTCTGCGAAGGATATGGACGACCCGTCGAAGCACTGCACCGTGGAGGGGGATATGAGCATGCCTGATGGCAGCAGGGTGAAGTGCACAGAGGACGATCTGTTGACGGAGGCGAAGAAGGACATTGTTTTGAAGCAACTCCTCCCGGCAGCAATTAAGATGCACACCGATCGTCTCTCCGTGAAGCCTATGGTGGATCCCATCCGTATGCCCATGCCAGATGATGGTATAGGGGCGTGCAGCGATTTCACCATCCCTTCCTGGCACCACACGATCGGCGTGAGCGGCGCCGACATGATCCTCTACGTCAACGCTTTCCTAGGTAGGGAATTCGTTGCAGTGGCGGAAGTATGCGCCACTCTAAAGGACGGACGTCCGTACGCTGGCGTCGTAAACTTTGCTCCCCGGCACATAAGGGCCACTGATCGCTTTGTTCGTACTGCAGCGCATGAGATTGGGCACGTTCTTGGGTTTTCGTTCAAACAGTTTTCAAAGTTCAATATGCTCTCCAATGTTTCCAATGTGCGCGGGAAGAAGGAGGTGTGGGTGGTTTCCTCACCGAAGGTGAAGGAGCTGGCGAGGAGGTACTACAACTGCCCCACACTTGAGGGCATGGAGCTGGAGGAGGGGGGTGGTAAGAGAGAAAAGCTGAGCCACTGGAAGAAACGCAACGCAAGGGACGAGTTGATGGCTCCTGGGGTCCCGTACACGTATTACTCAGCATTTACGCTTGCTGCATTTGAGGACATGGGTGTGTACAAGGCTAACTACGGCATGGCGGATACGTTGCGGTGGGGCAACAACTCTGGTTGCGGGCTGCTGGAAAATAAGTGCTTGACCAACGGCCGCACCGACTACCCTGACATGTTCTGCAAACAAAACGTCAGTGACAACAGGCTGCTCTGCACGTATGATCGTCTTTCTCTGGGGTACTGTGACGTACTCACTCAACAGCCCCTTCCACCGCAGTTTCAGTACTTTGATAACCCCATACATGGAGGTACTTTGCAGATTATGGACTACTGTCCGTATGTTATGGGGCGTGGGGCGTCTGGGTGTATAAACGGTGACTCTAAAAGGTTCCCTGGAAGCTTCATTGGCTCGAGCTCACGGTGCGTAAAGGGGGAGAGGCTTCTTTTTGATAACAAAGAGATTGGCGATGTGTGTGTGAACACACAGTGCAGTGAGGGTAAGCTGAGGGTGCAGTTCCTTGGCGACGGTACGTGGCACGACTGCAATGAGGGCGAGACGGTTGCGCCGCCAGGGGGCAAATGGCGTGGAAGCATCAGGTGCCCCAAATATGCCGACGTGTGCGCAGCCTTCCCTAACACCAGTGATCTCCCAATACCAGTCGTTGCCCCGCCACTGGCGGAGAAGCCAAACCCTGCAGACACAAATGATGAATCAGGCGGCACCAATCGTGATACCGGTGCCTCGCCCTCAACGCATCAATCGCGCAATACCAGTAAGAAACGCAACCCAACCAGCATGCGTGATGAGTCCGGTGCCTCGCCCTCAACGCACCAATCGCGCAATACCAGTAAGAAACGCAACCCAACCAGCATGCGTGATGAGTCCGGTGCCTCGCCCTCAACGCACCAATCGCGCAATACCAGTAAGAAACGCAACCCAACCAGCATGCGTCGTAAGTCCGGCACCTCGCCCTCAACGTATCAGTCGCGCAATACAAGCCAGGAACGCAATCCAACCAGCATGCGTGATGAGTCCGGTGCCTCGCCCTCAACGTATCAGTCGCGCAATACGTCGGCGCCTGCCGCTCCAGCAGCACCCACTCCGAACCACTCCGGGAAAAGCGGCGGTGGAGGCAACGGAAATCGTGGAGAGAAGGAATTTGGACTCGGTGACACTTCAGTTGTGGCTGTTGGCCTCAGTTCCCTTGCGCTTCTTGCCGTTGCCACCGCCGTGGCGATGGCGCCTCTCTAAGCAGCAGCAGGGCACAAGTAACGCGTGGTGAGGAAATAATATAAATATATATATATATACATATATGAATATTTCGTGGACTGTGCAGCCATGCACTCAAGATATATTTTGCCGTCATAATGCAACGTGTGTACGCACGCCGCGCCTTGGAGTTCCTTTGGTAAAGCGACGATAATTTCAAATTTGTGCTGCCACAATTTCTGCGAAAGACACAGAACTGCTTTTTGTTTTATATTGTTTTCTATTTCTTTTCGGTGGGCGACCTCTCTCTCTCTCTTCCTGGACTGTGCTCAAAGGGAAGAAAAAGTGTGTTTGTGTGTGTGTTGGTTGTCCCACTTGCTTCTGCGCGTCCCCACTTCTCGGTGGACGTGCCCACGCTTCGGCTTCACTGTACGGGGTGTGTTTTTATTTTTGTTGTGATTGTATTTGGTTGACTGCACTCAGCCTGGAGGCTGCTGATGTGTGCGTGTGAATATGAGTGTGTGCGCCTACGTGTGGCTGCCTTTCTGATGTTTTTTTTTCTTTTTGCTTCCTCTTCCCGTCCCACCCTGGGCACTTGCACCCACAAACAGAGGCGCGTGCGCAAGACAGTCGAGCCACAGCTACCGCGGCGACGCAGGCCACCATAAACAGACGCTTTGATCAAGCTAGACCTATGACAACGGCGGCTCTTCCCATCATTGATGTCTCCCCTCTTTTTGGGGACGGAGGGGGCGTGACTGAGGTAGCGAGGCAGATTGACGAGGCGTGCCGCACCTGGGGCTTCTTCTACGTTGTCGGGCACCCCATTCCACGTGAGCGGTTTGAGC